TCATAGTCCAAACAAACCGAATTGATAAGCTGAACTACATGGCGTAATGCTAGCCCTCACCAATCCGCCCTGACGACGAGCCATATTAAATCACAGGATAAAAAGATAGGCGATGGAATTGACTAAGAGCAAATAGATAGTTATGATTGAGAAGAGCGGAAGAGAAAAGGGCCTTAATGACGTGTAATATGTTGACGTCTATATTTACCAATAAAGATTATGACTTTGGAAATTAGAAGAGATAGAATGATGAACAGATAGGCAAGTAGTTGCGATTAGCGTGCGTATGATTAGTCGTAACGAGATGACGAATAGATCGAATAGAGTGTACAGAATGCGTGTGTTGTGCGATGTGCCGACGTGATGCAAACAGCGTATAAATAAACTAATAATACTTATATATCATTAGATAAATATTATGAGTACATTAATATATAAGATAACAATTATATATAATAGATAGATTAAGATAAAGATGGATAAGAGTTAGAATAAGAATGAACAGAAATAGAATAGAATGGATAGATAATATAGAAAGTAGGATAATTAGATAGACTAGATAGACTAAGATAAGGAATAGATTATAGATAGATAGATAAAGATAGATAGAATTAATAGATACGATAAGATAGAGAATATAGAATAGATAGAAATAGATAGCGATTAAAGATGAGATAGAATAAGAATAGAAAATAGAAATGGAATAGGACATGGAAATTAAATAGATAGATAAGAATAAGAATCAGATAGGAAAGATAGAATAGATAGATAAAAGATAGTAAAATAGCTAGAATTAAGAATAGAAATTAGAATAGATAGATAAGTTAAGATAAGAATAGATAGATAAGTAGATAGAATAGAATGAAGTATATATATAGATAAATAGATAATATATATATTATATATAGATAGATACAGATATGGCGTAACCTCTTGTTGCAGGCATACCCTATGTGAAGCCGCCCGTTGGTGCGAGGCGATGGCAGAAGCCGGAAGCCCTGGATAGTCAGGATTGGGAAGTCTTGCTGGAATGGAGTGTATGAAGCCAAGAGCTTCGGCAGCGAATGCTTCCAGCATAGCTTCAGCGGCGCAGACGGTACGTGTGTGCCCCAGCGGGGAAGAGAAGAATGGAGAGAGAGAGAGTGGAGAGGAGAGAAGGGGTGAGGGGAGAGGGGGTGATGGAGAGAGGACGAAGCGGAGAGTGAAAGGGTGAAGGGGAAGAGAGGGGGAAAAGAAAGGGGGAGAGGTAGAGGAGAGAGGAGAGAGGAGAGAGGGGGAAAGGGGAGAGCGGAGAGGAGAGAGTAGAAGAGGAGAGAGTGGCGAAGAGAGTGGGTTACTAAATAAGCGAGTTTACATACATATTGATATTGTACATACATACATGTATATGTATAGATATATACACGCATATATATTATATATATATATTCATTAAGATATTATATTATTGTTATTGTTATTATTATAATTAATATATTATTATTATTATTATTAATACATTATTATTATTGTTATTATTGTTATTGCACACTAACGCTATGAGTTCTCCGCTCGTCCATCCAGGCTACACTGGTAGCGAAGACTGCCTCTTTCTCAACGTGTGGACTCCAACCCTGGACCCCGAGCGCCGGCTGACTCGGCTGACGTGATGGGTGTGGAATCCATCGGCGCTCGATTCCTACTGTTCTGCTAACTGGCTCCGTGACCGGTGGTCTCACCCCGGCCCGACGTTGGGGCAAGCCGAGACTGGGCTGGCGCGCGGGCGTGTTGCGCGGGTTAGGCTCTATGCACGACTGTTGACAGTAGTTACACCTTTTTATCTGTGGTTAGATTGCAACCGGTACTAATCACACACAGTATTTACCGTTTTTACTCACACGTGTATCAAGTACTGCATCCTCTCCCTAGGGTGAGATTGGGTCCTACACCTCAACAGCGCCTAATCTAGCGGGGGCGATCCCCTCCCACCTCCCGCTCATCAGTGTAACATTGCGTCGCTGTACCGATCTCCTGCTGGATCGACCTGGAAATGCGCCCAGGCGCGAGATTAGACGCGGAGGAGAAAGCTAGGAGAGAGAGGGAGAGGCGCACAGACGAGAACGAGATGAGAGGGAGAGAGGAGAGGAGCCGAAAAGAGAGAGAAGAAGGAAGAGAAGGACGAGGGGAGGATGAGATGCAGAGCTGGTGAAGATGAGAACAGAGGAGAGGGGATTAGAGCGAGAGAAAGCTAAAAGGCTGAGAACGAGAGAGGAGAGAGACGAGAGAGGAGAGAGAGAGAAAGAGAAGATGAGATGCGTGGGAAGAGACAAGAGATAGGCGAGGAAGCTTAGAGAGAGAAAGAGAGAGAGAGGAAGGAAACGGGGCGGGCGCCGGCCGCGGCCGGCGGGGGGCCGGGCCGGCGCGGCGACGCGCGGAGGCGCTCCGCGCGCGGGCGAAAGAAGAGAGAAAGAGCGTGGAGAGAACAGAGACTAGAGGCGAGAGAAAAGCTACGAGAGAGAAGAGAGAGACCGACGGCACGAGAGAGAGAGAGAGAAAGGAGAGAGAGAGAGAGAGGAGAAAGAGGAGACGAAGAGACGAGATTAGAGAGAGAGAGAGGACAAGGATAGAGAGAGAGAAAGGAATAGGACAGTAGAGAGACAGAGATACTAGAGGGCGAGAGAAAGTTCTAGAGAGAAAGAGAGGAGAAGAGCGCCGGCTGGAGAGAGCGACGAGGAGAGATTGAGGAGGAGCGTGCGAGAGAGGACAGAGGATAGAGCGGAGAGAAAAGCTAAGAGAAAAAAGGCCGCGGGCGATGGACCGACGGAGCTGAGAAAACGCCGATGAGAAAGAGAGAAAGAGACGACGAGAGGAGAAGATAAGACGAGAGAGGACGATTAGTGGAGAGAGAGGACGGAGAGGAGACGCGAGGGGGGAGAGAGAGAGAGCGTGAGAGCAATCAGCCGCATCATGTTAGCAAGCCACTCTGGCTGACGTCTGTCAAAGCTGCGCGCGTGGCATCGTCACCTGATGATGTCCTTATGACTTATTGTCCTGGGTGACAATGCAAGTCGTCGCGAAGATCGTGACCTTGGTCGTGACCCAATGGTGACCCGGCGGTGGCATAGGTCATGACCTGACGGTGACCTGGGTCGTGACCTGCCAGTGACCTTGGTCGTAATCTGCCGGTGACCTTGGTCGTGACCTGACGGTGACCTGGGTCGTGACTTGACAGTGACTTTGGTCGAGACCTGACAGTGACGTTGGTCGTGACCTGATGGTGACCTGGGTCATGACCTGACAGTGACCTTGGTCGTGACCTGCCGGTGACCTGGGTCGTGACCCAATGGTGACCTTGGTTGTAATCTGATGGTGACCTGATATGTAGTATTATTGTCTGTCGTGTTCGGTCGTTTTTCAGGGCCTGCTGGGCCTCCTATCACTGTTCTATTGTTTTGCAGGTTCGGTATACTGGGCTTCCTATCACTGTTCTATTGTTTTGCAGGCTCGGCGTGCTCGGATTTCTGGCACTGGACGTGCTCTCGCGCAATTCGGCGGATGGTCTGTCGGGTAACTACGGCCTGTACGACCAGCTGGCGGCTCTGACGTGGGTGCAGCGTAACATAGCGAGGTTCGGCGGCGACCCGGGGCAGGTCAGTGTCTCGCAACATGTTCTGCTGTATGCATCTATGACAAATACGACATACGCATTACGCTCTCCTAGACACTATTTGTCATAGGAAGATTCTTCCTATGACAAATATTGGCGAGTCAACTTCGTTTTCGCTTATCAGCTGAATATCACTGCGTGCGGTTCATAATAGCGCTCCTAAACTCCTATGATGCGCACAAACACATATAACAATATTTGTCATAGAAAAGTTTTCTTCCATATGACAAATAGTGTCATAGGAGAGCGTAAGATGCGTATGTCGTATTTGTCATAGATGCTAGCAGAACAGACTGAGTGTCGGTGGTGGTCTAGAGAGCAACGGATGTCTCGATCCGGGAATGGTCATTCTCTCTTATCGTTGTCTTTCACTTTTTGGTCAATCGCTTTTGTTTTGTTTTTCACTCACGCTCTCTCTCTCTCTCTCTTCTCTCTCTCTCTCTCTTTCCTCTCTCTCTCTCTCTCTCTTCTCATCTCGTGCTCTCTCTCTTCTCTCTCGTGCTCTCTCTCTCTCTCTTTCTCTCTCTCTCTCTTCTCTCTCGTGCTCTTCTTCTCTCTTTCTCTCTCTCTCTCACTCTTTCTCTCTCCTCATTCTCTCTCGTCTCTCATTCTCTCTCTCTTGTTCTCACTATCGGCTTTGGTTTCTCTCTTCCCTCTGTTTCACGATCGGTAAAAAGTCAATGAGATCAAATCATTTAAAAACTGAGAATAACATATATCATAACAATATCAGTCTATTATTCAATATGTCACATGTGCCTGCATGCCTGGTGTCAATTCTCTCTCCCTCCATCTATCCGCTTTATCTCCTGTCTCCCGCTAGATGACCGCGTCATCCCTCTATCCCTGTCTTCGCGCTAGATTGACCGCGTCATCCCTCTATTCCCTATCTTCCCGCTAGATGACCGCGTCATCCTCTATCGCCTATCTCCGCTAGATGACGCGTCATCCCTCTATCCCTATCTTCCCGCTAGATGACCGCGTCATCCCTCTATCCCTGTCTTACCGCTAGATGACCGCAGTCATCCTCTATCCCTGTCTTCCCCGCTAGGTGATACCGCGTCCATCCCTCTATCCCTGTCTTCCGCGGCTATGGATGACGCGCGTCATCCCTCTATCCCTATCTTTCCCGCTAGATGACCGCGTCATCACCTCTATCCCTTTCTTCCCGCTAGGTCACCGTATTTGGGCAGAGCTCCGGAGGGCGAGCTCTATCCTGGCGACATCTCTCGGGGCCGATGGCGAAGGGATTGTTCCAGAGGGCGTGGATGAGGCAGCGGATCCTCCATCATGAACAAGACGCTAGAGACAGCTGCGCGCCCGACAAACCTCGTCTTCCTGACAGAATATAGAGATGAGAAGCAGCCGCGTAAAACCTCCTCCCTCTTTCCTCCTTCCTTTCTCCCTCATCTCCATTCCTCCTCCTGGCACTGCCTTCTAGACATTTCGCGATACACCGTGAGGGCGCCACCCGTAATACTGATTTGCTGTGAGCGCGCCACCTGTAATGCTAATTTACTGTTGGGCGCCATTTGTAATGTCCGTGAAGCTGGGAATTGCACATTAGCTCTTATTATATATATAATATAACTGGTAAGTTATTTTTCTATACATCTATGTAGGCGTTATTGTATATATATATATATTATAATTATATATATTAATATGATATGTAAATATATTATTGGCGACATACACTTTGCTCTTATCACAGTGCGACACAGCCGAGTGTCTGTACGGCAAGTCTGCGACAGAGGTGAACACCGCCACGCCCCTGACGGAGTATCCGTCCTGGGGAGCCGACGACCTGCTAGACCTGCCGACAAAGAACGTCTTCATCGGTGCAATCATCGTCGTCGACGGTAGGTGGCGCCACTAACGCGACGACGACGGCGGCGGTTGACGCGAATTATTGTCAGAATTTGGTACAGACGCACGCACGCACGCACGCACGCACGCCCGCACGCACGCCCGTTCGCACGCACGCACGCCGGTACAGACGCACACACATGCACACACACGCACGCACGCACGCAGTACAACTTGCAGAGAGAGAGAGAGAGCTGTGTGCGTATATATAGCATTCTCTTTTCCTCGTTCGCACCGTACAGGGGCGCTGGTGTCGGCGCCACCACTGGAGCTGTGGGAGAAGGAGGAAGGCTTGAAGGTGAAGACTTACCCCGATGTTCCGCTGCTGATAGGTGAGTCTTTCATCTCCCCCGCCTCCTCCTCCTCATCGGCCTCTTCCTCCTCCTCCTCCTCCTCATCGGCCTCTTCCTTCTCCTCCTCTTCATCGGCTTCTTCGTGCGCTTCCTCCCCGTCCACGTCGTTCTCTTCTTCTTCCTCCTCCTCCTTCTCCTTCACATAATCTTCCTCCTCCCCCTCCTCCTTCTCCTCCTCCTCCTCCTCATCATCCTCATCACCATCATCATCATCATTATCATCATCGTCATCATCATCATCATCATCATCATCATCATTCTCCTTCTCCTCATCGTTCTCCTCCTCTTGCCTCCGCACAGGAACCATGGCGCAGGAGAACGACGAGGTTACAGACCCAGCCGTGCGCGCCTGGGACTGGAAGGCTCTCGACGCTCACATCAACGCCACGCTCGGAACATTCGGCGGAGACCTCGCGCACAACGCCAGCGCCCTCTACCCGCGCGCGGGCCGCGAGCCCGACTACGTGCTGACGTCGATGAGCAGCGACGTGCGCGTCACCTGCCCCGCCGACGTCGTCGCCCGCCTCGCCGCCGACGCGCGCGCCGCCGCCGTGTGGCGCTACGTCGTCACGCACGCTCCGTCGGCGCCGATCCACGCGTTCGGGATGACACCGACGCTGTCGCGCTACGCGATGCACGGCTGGGATACGTCGGCGTTCTTCGGCGACGTCGCGCGCCTCGTCGCGCGGCCGACCGCCGCCGACCTCGCGTTCCAGCGCACGATGCGCGACGTCGTCGCCGAGTTTGCGCGCACGGGGAAGATCGGCGAGCCGCAGTGGCGGACGTTTCCCGAGAGTACGGCGCTGCTGGGGGCGAGCGGCGGCGTCGAGGTAGCGAGGCACTACCACGCGAAGCAGTGCGCACTCTGGCTCACCAACGGACTCTTCAGTTACGCCTGGATCAACTGAGGAGTGGGGAGGGAGAGCGGGCGCCACCGGGGGTTCCCGCTCGTCGCCGCGTGAACGAGAACGCAGTCCCTCCTGAAGTCGACAGTCGCGCCCTCTAGCGCGAGAAGCTACGTACCCCCCGTTGCCGTGTCGATGAAGAGACCGAGCCAGAGCGAGAGAGAGGGGGGGGGGAGAGAGTAAGAGAGAGGCAGA